CCTCTCCAAACCAGCCTTTACCCAAGGACGTCAGCACAATATGCAAATAAAGAATGTTTATTGCTGTTATGTAAATTTATGCAGATAAACTCCATACCAAAGGTGCTTTCACCCAAGTATGACATCACCACAATATGGAAATGAGGAATGTTTATTGCCTTTATGCAAATTTATGAAAATCAACCCCATCCCAAAGCCACCCTCACTCAAGGATGATATCAACACCATATGCAAATGAGGAATGTTTATTGCCTTTATGCAAATTTATTCAAATGAGCATCAGCACCACCCTCTTCCGCCTCCATTTAAGGGCCTAAAGGCGCCGTGGCCTCAACCAATCAGAGCCAGGCTGTGCTAATTTATGCAAATCCATGAAAAAGAAGCAAAGGCGGAAGAATTTGGCATGCAAATTTATGCTAATGAGCCGCGCTCCTCCTTCCACTGCTCAGGGGTCAGCGTTCGCTGCTCCAGGGCGTGGATCCGACTCAGCTCCTCCTTTAGCGCATCGTTAACGAGCCTGTGAGTTAATTAGCCGCTAATTAACACCATTATTGAGTTAACAAACCTCTCATTAACACCCTGATTAATCCCCCTCGCTTAATTCATTAATTGATCCATTAATTAATGAATCCATCCATTAAAACCCCTGATTAATCCATAATGATTATATAATTAATCTATAATTAATCCATCCATTAAAACCCCTCATTAACCCTCACATGTAATTAATCCATTAATTAAAATCCCTCAGTATGCCCCTAATTGCTTTAAGCCCCGCCCACCTTTTCAAGGCACACCCCTCTAAACCCCACCCCTTTCCCCATAAATCCCAATTAAACCCCTGCCCGTTTAAGCCCCACCCCTTTCCATAAGCCCCACCCCTTTCCCATTTAAATACCATTTAAGCCCCACCCATTTCCCCATTCCAATGATATTTAAGCCCCGCCCCTTCCCAATTTTAACCTCATTTAAGCCCCACCCCTTTCCCCTTCAACCCGTTTAAGCCCCGCCCCTTTCCTCATTCAAACCCCACTTAAGCCCCACCCACTTCCCCTATTTCAACCCATTTAAGCCCCACCCCTTTCTATTCAAATACTCTTTAAGCCCCACCCATTTCCCCATTAACCCCATTTAAGCCCCACCCCTTCCCGATTTAAACCCCATTTAAGCCCCGCCTCTTTCCTCATTCCAACGCCACTTAAGCCCCACCCACTTCCGCTATTTAACCCCATTTAAGCCCCGCCCCTTTACCATTTCAAACTTATTTAGGCCCCACCCATTTCCTCTTTTAACCCAATTCATGCCCCGCCCCTTCCCATTAAATCCTATTTAAGCCCCACCCATTTCCCCTTTAACCCAATTCAAGCCCCGCCCCTTTCACTTTAACTCCCATTTCAGCCCCACCCATTTCTCATTTCAAACCCATTTAAGCCCCGCCCCTTCTCCATTAAATCCTATTTAAGCCACACCCAATTCCCATTTAAACCCCATTTAAGCCCCGCCCCGTTCCCATTTAAACCAATTTAAGCCCCGCCCCTTTCCTCATTCCAACCCCATTTAAGTCCCACCCACTTCCCATTTCAACCCCATTTAAGCCCCGCCCCTTTCCCATTAAATCCCATTTAAGCCTCACCCATCTCCCATTTAGGCTCCACCCCTTTCCCCATCAAAACCCTTTAATCAAAGCTCCTCCCCTTTAGGCTCCGCCCCCCTTTAGACCCCGCCCCCACCGGTGCCTCTGGAGGGTCTTGAGGCCGCGGAAAATTCCGGAAACGACGAAAACGCGGAAGCTGCCCTGGCACAGCTCGGGGGAGTCCTGCACCTCCTGCAATTAATTAGCGCTAATTAATGCTAATTAGCATTCCTGAACCTCCTCCTCCGCCCCGTGAATAATAATTAGGGGATTAAGTAATAATTAGGTGTTGTTGTCTGGTAATTAATGGCTCATCAATGATAATTATAACACATTAAATTATAATTATTTGGTAATTAGAAGCAATTGATTGATAATTAGCATTAATTACCACCCATTACCTCTTATTACACTTAAAGCTTTAATTAATAAATTTAATTACCACCCTCAACAACTCATTAATACCAATTAAGTACTAATTATCGCTTATTAAGGGTTAATTAGCAGTTATTAGCAACTAATTAGGAGCATTTTGACATTAATTAAAACTAATTAAATCCATTAGGCTTCTATTACATCTTCAATCTAGTAATTAATCTAAAATGTCAGTAATTAGAGATAAAATTACACCCCAACCACTAATTACCATTAATTCCCTGCTAATTAACACCTATTACATGCTAATTAGTAGTTGTTAACAACTAATTGGCACCAATTCATCACTAATTAACCCCCATTAGTCCCTAATTACAACTATAATATTATTAGTAATTATAATTGCGTCCCCCAATTACTAATTACCAACAATTATTAACCAATTGAAATCTGAAAAACACTAACAGCAATTAATCACTAAAAAAAGCAATTAGCCGCTAATTAACAACCCTTAGGCTCTAATTATAACGACTTAATCACTAATTACCAAGTCTTAATTATTAATTAGGATCAATTAGCCACTAATTGCTTTCCCAAACTACTAATTAACCACCATTACCTACTAATTAACAGAGAAAAGGCGTTAATAAGGAGCTAATTAGGCAGTAATTAAGTCACTTCTGGGGTTAATAAAAACCGTAATTAACACTAATTCATTAATGCTAATGAAGCACTAGCCCTCACAACTGCTGTTAATTAAGCCCCTATTTAACGCCTCCACCTCTTAATTAACCCCGCCTAGCACTAATCAACCCGTCCCACTCCTCATTAATACCCTAATTAGCCTAATTAACTCTAATGAACCCCTCCCCCTCCGAATTACCGCCCCCCAACGGCTAATTAACCGCCATCCTGGAAAAAAACCGCCCTCCCAAACCTAATGAACACGCAGTCGGCGCTAATTAGCGCTTAATTAATTGATTAGCGAATTAATTACCACGTGTTCGGCCTGGAGCCGCTCCTGGAGCCGCAGCCGCAGCTCCTCGGCTGTGGGAGGCTCCATTACCGCTTCCGCCTGCGTCACTTCCGCTTGGCGCGGGGCCTTGTGGGTATTAAGGCGGAAGCAGAAGAAATGCATTGTGGGTAACGAGGCAAAAGTGAACGATTTACAGAGGATTGTGGGTAACGAGGCAAAGATGGGGTTCTTTGCGCAAGGGTTTGTGGGTAACGAGGCGAAGTTAAGCGCTACCATAACCTGAGGGCCCAGTGTGCGACCATAACGGAAAAATGACATCACTAAAGGCACCAGTGACACCAGTAAGGACCAGTTCGGGATGGGAACGGACCAGTAAAAACCAGCATGGGACCGGTAAAGGAAAAATGACGCCATTAAAGGCACCAGTGACAGCAGTAAAAGGTGGAGCGGGCCAAAATTCATGCCAGTAAAAGGGATCGCGGTGCATTGTGGGTACCGAGGCAGAAAACCCGCCACTTTACCGAGGCGGAATTCACCCGCAGTTTTATCCCGCAATGCATTGTGGGTACCGAGGCAAAACTGCCGCCATTTATACCGAGGCAAAATTACCGGAAGTTCCTCCTCGCGGACCGCAATGCATTGTGGATAACGAGGCATATTCGCCGCCATTTCTACCGTGGCAAAAACCTCCACAGGTATTCCTTTTGCGCATTGCATTGCTGGTACCGTGGCAAAATGGCCGCCATTTTTTCAGAGGCAAAAACCCGGACCCGCCTTTTATGCGCAATGGATTCTGGGTACCGAAGCACACATTCTCCCTCTTCCAAAGCGGAAAACCGAGCATTAAAAAAAAAAACTCTATTTTTTTTCTACCTACTCCTCCTCCTCCTCCTCCTTTTTCTCTTTAAAGCACTTTGCCGATATTTTTAACGAGGCGAGCCTTCGGAAGCTCCCCTCACGCGCCGCAATGCGTTGTGGTTACCGAGGCAAAATCGCCGCCATCTTTACCGAGGCAAAACTCTCAAGGGCCTCCATTTTAGCAATGCATTGTGGGTACCGAGGCACAAATTCTTCCTCTCACCGATAAATCAGAGCATTAAACGACAATTTTCTCTTCTTCTTCCTCCTCCTCCTTCTTCTCCTCCTCCTCTTTCTCTTTAATGCATTTTGCCGCCATTTTAACCGAGGCAAAGCATACAGGAAGTTTAGACCTTCGCGGTGCATTGTGGGTACCGAGGCATAAATTCTCCCCTTACCGAGGCGGAAGTTGATTCATGTAACCGGAAGTGCCCGCGGTGCATTGTGGGCCAGCGATGGCGGCGATGAGGGCCGTGTATTTGCTTCGCTCCGCCGCTCCCCGGGGCCGGTGCCGGGGCCGAACCTACGTTGGGTTCACGGTGGATCCGCGGCGGCGGCTCCGGCAGCACAACGGGGGCAGGAAAAGAGGGGGAGCCCGAAAGACGAGCGGGAGAGGGCCCTGGTGGGGGAGCCCGAGGAGTTTTGGGGGGTTAATGGGGATTAAATGGGAATTTAGGGTGATTTAGAGGGGATTTGGGGGGTGTTTAATGGGATAAAAATGGGATTTAGGCGTTTCAGGGGGGATTTTTGGGGGGTTAAAGAGGATTTAGGAGGGTTGTAAGGTGGATTTGGGGGAATCTGAGGGGGATTTGGGGGGCTTTAAAGGGGATTTGGGGGTGGTTTGGAAGATTTAAGGGGATTTGGGAGATTTAAGGGGGATTTGGGAGGCTTTAAGATGGATTTGGGGGGGTTTTGGGGGTTTACGGGGAATTTAAAGGGATTGAAGAGGAATTTTGGGGGTGTTTAAGGGGCATTTGGGGGGTTTAAGGGGATTTAGGGGAGATTTTAGGAGGATTTTAGGGGGTTCTAGGGGGATTTGGGGGGCCTTAAGTGGTTTTGGGAGGGATTTGTGGGTGTTTAAAGGGGTTAAAGGTGGATTTTCAGAAGGTTTAAGGGGGAATTTTAAGGAATTTTGGGGGGATTTTGGGGTTAAAGGAAGATTTGGGGGAGTTAAAATGGATTTTGGGGAGGATTTTGTGGGATTTAAGTGGGATTTGGGGGGATTCAAGGGATAATTGGGAGAGTTAAAGGGGGATTTGGAGAATTTGAAATTAAATTTAAATAATCCTAATGATTAAAATTAAATTTAGAAATTAATTTTCTTGGTTATTTTTTAAATTTTCAATGAATTTTCAGCCAATTTAACCCATTTTTCTCCAACTAAAGGGAAATGGAACTTTTCGTCCACGGCTTCCCCTCCGACGTCGCCGCCCTCAGGGTGAGCCACGCCCCCTTTTAAGCCCCGCCCACCTCATTAAAATGCATCAAATCCTTCCTCCTTTAGTTTAAGCTCCTCCCACATTCTAGACACACCTGTCTAAGCCCCGCCCACCTTACTTGGCCAAATTAAAACCATCTCATTAATTAAATTTAAGCCCTCCCACCTTTAAAACACCACTCATTTAAGCCCCGCCCACTTTCCCCAAGCACGTATAAACTGCTCCATCTGGAACTTAAGCCCCTCCCACTTTCTAGTCCCCATCCATTTAAGCTCCACCCACCTCGTAATAATGCAAATTAATTCAATTTGCCTTTAATTTAAGCCCCTCCCACCTCTTAAACCTCACCCATTGAAGCCCCGCCCACTTCTTTCAAGCTATTGAAATAAAATTTCTTTTAATTTAAGCCCCTCCTACTTTAAAAAATCCCTTAAGCTCCACCCACTTAAGCCACACCCCTTAAACCTCCTTTACACCCACTTCTATTGAAGCCCCGCCCACCAAATTAAACCCATCCCCCTTTTAAGCCCCACCCACTTCATATTGACAAATTTCCCATGGCCACACCCACTTTAAGCCCCGCCCACAGGAACTGCTTTAGGCTCCACCCATTTAACCCCGACCCCCATTTTAGCCACTCCCAACTCATTAAACTCTGCCCCTTTAAGCCCCGCCCACCTTATTAATTTAAACAAAACTCCTCCCCTTTTATTTAAATCACACCCACTTAAGCCCCGCCCTTTTTTTTTCAGTTCGAGTGGGCGTGGCAACACCCAAACTCCTCCCGATGCCTCTTGGCCCCGCCCCACTCGCCGCCCCCGGGAGCAGCCAATCAGCTTCGCCCTCCGCCTCTTGCCCCGCCTCCTTTTGGCCCCGCCCTGGTCCCGCCTCCCGCTGAGAATCCGTTGGCTCCGCCCACCTCGTCCCGCCCTAGAGTTGGCTCCGCCCCCTCACGTAGTGGAGGAGGAAGGGGTGGGGCTGCCACGCCTTAAAAGGAAAAAGGGGCGGAGTCAAGAAGTGGAGTTGGAGAATATGGGGTGTGGCTTGTGTAGGGAGGTAAGGGGCGGGGCTTAAAGGGGTGGGGCTTAAGATTAATTACTTTTTTGGGCGGGGCCAAAGATGAGTGGGGATTAAAAAGGTAGGAGTTTTGAGAGGTTTAATGAGGTGGGGTGGGGCTTAAAGGGGTGTGGCTACATTAAGCAAATTAAAGAGGCGGGACACAAATGGATACTTAGAAGTGGGAGGGGCTTAATGTGGGTGTGGCTTATTGTGAACAGTCTAAAGTGGGCGGGGTTTAAAAATGGGTGTGGCTTAACAATAAAAATAAAAGTGGGAGTAGCCTAAAGCTGGATATGGTAAAAGGGGGTGGAGCTTAAAATGGCAGGGTTAAAAGGGTGGGGTTTAAGGTATTTAAATTTTAGGCGTGGCCTAAAAGGGGCATGGCCTTCAGAGGTACAAAAATTAAAATTTGGGGAATTTTTGGGCTTAAAAATGTAAAAATATGCAAATTTTTCATTGTGGGCGTGGCCTGAGAGGTAGTGGGCGGGATTTGATTCCTGTATTACTAGTTTTACTTTTAAATCAATGTAATCTTTTTAAAAATGCTAATTTATGCAAATTTTTGCCTTTTAAGCAGAAATGTCAGGGTTTTTTACATTTCCACGCCCCTTTTAGGGACCAGGCCACGCCCCTTTTGCGCTGTCCCCGCCCCCATTGCAAGATGGCCGCCCATCCCTTGTGCCTGGCCCGGCTCTTCCTGGCCCCGGAGCCGCTGCAGCTGCTGCCAGTTGGGGGCGCCTGTCCCAGGTAATAAAAAAAGGGGGCGGGGCTTGGGCTTGGGGGCAGGGCTTATTTTTGAAAGTTTTTTACCTAATAAGGAAACATTTCAAAATGGCTGCTAAGGGGTAGAGCTTGGTTTTTAGGAGTTTTTACCTTATAAGGTATGGTTCAAAATGGCTTCCAGGGGGGCGGGGCTTGTTTAAAAGGATGGTTTTGGTTATAATGTTCCAAGATGGCTGCAAGGGGGCGTGGCTTAATTTTTAGGGATTTTTACCTTATATAGGAAGGTTCCAAGATGGCTGCCAGGGGGCGGGGCTCTTTTTCTAAGCTGTATTTTTCTTATAAGGAATGGTTCCAAGATGGCTGCCATGGGGTGGGGTTTATTTCTAAGCTGTTTTTCCTTATAAGGAAAGGATTCAAGATGGCTGCCAGGGGGCGGAGCTTATTTTCAAGGAAGTTTTAGGTTATCAGGTTCCAAGATGGCTGCCAGGGGGCGGGGCTTGATTTTTAGTGATTTTTACCTTAAATGGGAAGGTTCCAAGATGGCTGCCAGGGGGTGGGGTTTGTTTCTAAGCTATTTTTCCTTATAAGGAAAAATTCCAAGATGGCTGCCAGGGGGCGGGGTTTATTTCTAAAACCATATTTCCTTATAAGGAAATTATTCAAATGTTTGTTTTTAAAACCTTTTTTCCTTAAAGGAAGAAATTTCAAGATGGCTGCCAGGGGGGCGGGGTTTGTTTCTATGGGAGATTTTCCTTATAAGGAAAAGTGCAAAGATGGCTGCCAGTGGGAGGAGTCTGTTGCTAGGGGGAGGAGCTTGTTTATATTTTTCCTTAAAAGGAAAGGCTCCAAAATGGCTGCCAGGGGGAGGAGCCTGTTGTTAGGGGGCGGGGCTTGTTGCTAAGGGCTCCTTACACCATAAGTCTGTGAGTGGTTGCTAAGGGGCGGGGCTTGTTGTCAAATCTCCTTTTCCTTATAAGGAAAGGCTTCAAAATGGCGAAAAGGGGGCGGAGCTTGTTGCTAGGCAGTAAAAGGGGCGGAGCCTGTTGCTAGGGGAGCATTTTCCTTATAAGGTAATGTTAAAGTGGTTATTAAGGGGCGGGGCTTGTTGAGCTGGAAGGATTTTCCTTATAAGGTAATGTGATGTGGGCGGGGCTTGTCTAAAGGGGGCGTGTCCTCACTCTGACCCCACCCCCAGGTGCCACACCCACCTCCTGTGGGGAGATCTGATTCGTCGCTGCCGTGGAGAGGCGGAGCCTGAAGAAGAGTGGGCGGAGCCTGATGACATCATCATCCCAAGCTCTGCCCCCACGTGAAGCCACGCCCACAATGGGTTTTTAACATTTTAAATGTATTTATTTGTAATTAACTTATTTTTATAATAAAATTCGATTATAAATTTATTTTTTATTTAATAGGGTGTGGCTTTGTTAGGCCACACCCCTATGATGTCATTTCCTGTTGCAATTCCCCCTTTTGGCCGCCGTTTTTGTAATCAAATTCCCATTTTTTACCCTTTTTTGCCTGTTTTTACATCAATTTCTTTTTTTGGGGGGTCCTTCAAACCCTCCCAAAAATTTTAAGATTTTTTCCCCAAATTTTGGGATATTTTCCCCCCATTTTCACCAGAAAAATCCCACATTTCCACCCCAAAATTCCCAATTATTGTCCTTTAAAAAAACCAAAATTTCCCCAAAAATATTTTAAATTTGCCAAAAAAAATTTGCCTTTTTTCCACCCAAAAAATCCCAAATTTTCCCCATAAAAATCCCATTTTTTCCCCATAAAATACAAAATATCCCTTCCTAAAAACAATCATTTTCACCCATGAAAATCCCAAATTTTCCGCAGAAAAATCCCAACTTTTTCTCTATGAAAACCCCATTTTTCCTTCTAAAATACCTAATTTACCCCAAAAAATTCCAATTTCCCCCCCAAAAATTCTCATTTTTTACTCATAAAAATCCCGAAAAAAACCCGTTTTTTTTCCCGATTAAAATCCTAATTTTTACCCCAAAAAAATCTCAAATTTTTCCTCAAAAATTTCCATTTTTCCCCCCCAAAAATCCCAATATTCCAGGATAAAATCTTTATTTTTTCCCCAAAAAAATCCCAAATTTCCCCCCATAAAAATCCCAATTTCCCCACTAAAAATCCCATTTATTGCCCTAAAAAAATCCCAGTTTTTCCCCACAAAACCCCCATTTTCCCTCATTAAAAAAATCATTTTTTTTTCAATTCTCCCCCATTAAATCCCATTTTTCCCCCCCAAAAATCCCATTTTCCCCTCCCCCCCTATTTCCAGGCCACTCTTTCTGAATTTTGGGTCGTTTTTTCCCAAATTTTGGGTCGTTTTTCCCCAAATTTCACTTTTTTTTGGTCTCTTTGCAGGCCACCACGTAGCGCTGGGCCACGTTCAGGGGTGGGGAGTAACCGTCGGCGTAGGAGGTGTCCTCGAAAAGCACCGAATAATCATCCTGGGGCTGGGAAATTTGGGAAAAAATTCAAAATTTTTGGGAAAAAAGAATTAGAAACAAGCCACGCCTACAAATTATCCCCTTATATGGTAACTGGGCCATAGCAACAAGCCACGCCCCTTAGCAACCCCCTCATAAGGCATTACCTCATTAATTTCCTTATATGGCAATGCCACCCTAGCAACAAGCCACGCCCCTTAGCAACCCCTCAGAAGCCATTACCTCAGTAATTTCCTTATATGGCAACACCACCCTAGCAACAAGCCATGCCCCTTAGAACCCCTCAGAAAGCATTACCTAAACATTTACCATATATGGCAACCCTTCCCTAGCAACAAGCCCCGCCCCTTAGCAACCCAGCTCCCACAGGGCCCCCTTGTGGCCGCCTCCATTTTTAACCAAAAATCCTCATTTTTGAGGGGATTTTTGGGGCGATTTCGGCCGATTTTGGGTCAGACTCACGCGCTGGGGCGGGGCGTGATGAGGGCAACATAGATGGCAATGTCTCTCCTTAGCAACAAGCCACGCCCCCTAACAACCACCAATTATGGCAATGCCTTGCCTAAGCAACAAGCCCCGCCCCTTAACCCCTCATAAAGCAATGCTGTGGCGGTTTCCTTATATGGAAACGTCACCCTAGCAACAAGCCCCGCCCCTTAGCAACCCCTCAGAAGGCATTACCTCAGCACTTTCCTTATATGGCAATATCACCCTAGCAACAAGCCCCGCCCCTTAGCAACCCAGCTCCCACAGGGCCCCCTTGTGGCCGCCTCCATTTTTAACCAAAAATCCTCATTTTTGAGGGGATTTTTGGGGCGATTTCGGCCGATTTTGGGTCAGACTCACGCGCTGGGGCGGGGCGTGGATGAGGGCAACATAGATGGCAATGTCTCTCCTTAGCAACAAGCCACGCCCCCTAACAACCACCAATTATGGCAATGCCTTGCCTAAGCAACAAGCCCCGCCCCTTAACCCCTCATAAAGCAATGCTGTGGCGGTTTCCTTATATGGAAACGTCACCCTAGCAACAAGCCCCGCCCCTTAGCAACCCCTCAGAAGGCATTACCTCAGCACTTTCCTTATATGGCAATATCACCCTAGCAACAAGCCCCGCCCCTTAGCAACCCAGCTCCCACAGGGCCCCCTTGTGGCCGCCTCCATTTTTAACCAAAAATCCTCATTTTGGAGGGGATTTTTGGGGCGATTTCGGCCGATTTTGGGTCAGACTCACACGCTGGGGCGGGGCGTGGATGAGGGCAACATAGATGGCAATGTCTCTCCGTAGCAACAAGCCACGCCCCCTAACAACCACCAATTATGGCAATGCCTTGCCTAAGCAACAAGCCCCGCCCCTTAACCCCTCATAAAGCAATGCTGTGGTATTTTCCTTATATGGAAACGGCACCCTGGCAACAAGCCCCGCCCCTTAGCAACCCCTCAGAAAGCATTACCTCAGAATTTCCTTATATGGCAATGCCACCCTAGCAACAAGCCACGCCCCTTAGCAACCCCTCAGAAGGCACTACCTCAGCACTTTCCTTATATGGCAACACCTCCCTAGCAACAAGCCACACCCCTTAGCAACCCCTCAGAAGGCACTACCTCAGCAATTTCCTTATATGGCAATACCACCCTAGCAACAAGCCCCGCCCCTTAGCAACCCAGCTCCCACAGGGCCCTCTTGAGGCCGCCTCCATTTTTAACCAAAAATCCTCATTTTTGAGGGGATTTTTGGGGCGATTTCGGCCGATTTTGGGTCAGACTCACGGGCTGGGGCAGGGTGTTGATGAGGGCAACATAGATGGCAATGTCTCTCCTTAGCAACAAGCCACGCCCCCTAACAACTTAATATGGCAATGCCTTGCCTAAGCAACAAGCCCCGCCCTTTAACCCCTCATAAAGCAATGCATTGGCGTTTTCCTTATATGGAAACGCCACCCTTGCAACAAGCCACGCCCCTTAGCAACCCCTCAGAAGGCATTACCTCAACATTTTCCTTATATGGCGATACCACCCTAGCAACAAGCCACACCCCTTAGCAATAACTCTCCTTAGCAATAAGCCACGCCCCTTAGCAACCCCTCAGAAGGCATTACCTCAACAATTTCCTTATATGGCAATACCACACTAGCAACAAGCCACACCCCTTAGCAACCCCTCAGAACGCATTACCTCAACAATTTCCTTATATGGCAATACCACCCTAGCAACAAGCCACGGCCCTTAGCAACCCCTCAGAAGGCAGTACCTCAGCACTTTCCTTATATGGCAACACCACCCTAGCAACAAGCCACGCCCCTTAGCAACCCCTCAGAAGGCTTTACCTCACCATTTTCCTTATATGGCAATACCACCCTAGCAACAAGCCCCGCCCCTTAGCAACCCAGCTCCCACAGGGCCCCCTTGAGGCCGCCTCCATTTTTAAGCAAAAATCCTCATTTTGGAGGGGATTTTTGGGGCGATTTCGGCCGATTTTGGGTCAGACTCACGCGCTGGGGCGGGGCGTGGATCAGGGCCCGGTAGAAGCAGGTGGTTTGGGGGTACAGGGCCAGCACCAGCTGATCCTTGTGGAACAGAGCCTCAGGATCCGTCTCGGGGTTGGTTTTCCATTGGGGCAGGGGGATGATGCGGCGGCGGCTCAGGGTGTGGCGCCTTTTTGGGGAGAAAAAAGAGGATTTTGGGGAAAATGGGAAAATTTGGGGGGAAAATAGGGGGAAAAATGGGATTTATATGGGGGGAAAGTTGGGGAGGAAATGGGGTTTGTATAGGGGAAAATTGGGAGGTTTTGGAAGGAAAAATGGGATTTTCCATTGGGAAAAAAATAGAATTATTTGGGGAAAAAATGGGGAAAAAAGGGAATTTTAGGGGGAAAATTAGGGGAAATTTGGGGGAATTTTGGGATTTTTATGGGAGAAAATTTGGGATTTTTGTGGGAAAGATTTGGGGTTTTTATGGGAGAACATGTGGGATTTTAAGGGTAAATTGAGATTTTTATTGGGGAAAAATGGGGATTTTTATGGGAGAAAAATTGGGATTTTTATGGGAGAAAATTTGGGACTTTTGTGGGAAAAAATTTGGAATTTTAGGGGTGAATTGAGATTTTTATTGGGGAAAAATAGGGATTTTTTTGGGAGAAAACTTGGGGATAAAATGGGATTTTTTGGGGGGAAAAGTTGGGAATGTTTGAAAGAAAAAATGGGAAAAAAATGGGAATTTTAGGTGGAAAAAATGGGATTTTTAGGGGAAATTTTGGGTGAAAATGTGGGATTTTTATGGGAGAAAATTTGGGATTTTTATTGGAGAAAATTTGGGATTTTAAGAGGGTTAAGAGGGATTTTTATGGGAGAAAATTTTGGGTTTTTTATGAGAAAATTTGGGATTTTTATGGGAGAAATTTAGGAGTAAATTGAGATTTTATTGGGGAAAAAAAGGGGTTTTTTTTGAGAAAATTTGGGATTTTTGTGGGAAAGATTTGGGGTTTTTATGGGAGAAAATGTGGGATTTTAAGGGTAAATTGAGATTTTTATTGGGGAAAAATGGGGATTTTTATGGAGAAAATTTGGGATTTTGGAGGGAGGAAATTTTGATTTTTTGCAGAAAAAAATTGTAATTTTTATGGGGAAAAAAATGGGGAAAATTTTGGGTTTTATTGGGAAAAATTTGGGGTTTTTTTGAGGTTTTTTTGAGGGGATTTTGGGGCATTTAACCCAAATTTGGGGATTTTTTTCCTCACTCACTCTTTGCCTTCCTCATCGATGTCATCGACTTCGTACCTGAAGGGAAAAAACCAAAAATCCCAACTCAGAACAAAAAAACTGAGGCCAAAAAAGGGAAAATTTTACCTCAAAAATTGGAATTTTTACCTCAGAAATTGGAATTTTTACCTCAAAAATTGGATATTTCAGCCCAAAAATTGGAATTTTACCTCAGAAGTTGGAATTTTTACCTCAAAAATTGGAATTTTACCACAAAAATTGGAAGTTTTACCTCAAAAATTGGAATTTTACCCCCAAATTGGAATTTTTACCTCAAAACTTTGAATTTTTACCTCAGAAATTGGAATTTTCAGCCCAAAAATTGGAATTTTTCCTCAAAAATTGGATTTTTTACCTCAAAAATTGGAATTTTCAGCCCAAAAATTGGAGTTTTACCCCAAAAAAGTGGAATTTTACCTCAAAAATTGGAATTTTTTACCCCAAAATTGGAATTTTAACCTCAGAAGTTTGAATTTTTACCCCAAAAATTGGAATTTTCAGCCCAAAAATGAGAATTTTACCTGAAAAATTGGAATTTTTACCTTAAAAATCGGAATTTTTACCTCAAAAATTTGAATTTTCAGCCCAAAAAATTTGAATTTTCAGCCCAAACATTGGCATTTTACCTCAAAATTTGGAATTTTTACCTCATAAATTTGAATTTTACCCCAAAAATTGGAATTTTCATCCCAAAAATTGGAATTTTTTACCTCAAAACTTGGAATTTTTACCTCAAAAAATTGGAATTTAAACCTCAAAAATTGGAATTTTCAGCCCAAAGAAGCCAATCTTGAGGAAAACCAAGTCAATTTTGAGGCAAAACCTCGATTTTTGAGGCAAATAAAGTGACTTTTAAGCCCAAAAATGTGAATTTTGACCAGAAAAAGTCAATTTTGAGGCAAATAAAGCAAATTTTGACCAAAAAAAAAATCAATTTTTTAACCAAATAAAGAGAATTTCGCCCAGAAAAAATTTCAACTTCGGGCTGAAAATTTGGATTTTTTGGGGCGGAGAAAAGGGAAATTTTGATGGTGAAAAATGTGAATTTTTAGCAATAAAAGTGAATTTTCAGCCCAAAAAAGGGAATTTTAGCCAAAAAAGTCAATTTTGACCAAAATAATTCAATTTTTAACCAAATAAAGTGAATTTTGGCCAGAAAAAGTCAATTTTGAGCCAAATAAAGCAAATTTTAATAAAAAAAAATTTGATTTTTAACGAAATAAGGTGAATTTTGGCCTGAAAATTTTGAATTTTGGGCTGAAAATTTGAATTTTCGGGGCACAAAAAACTCAATTTTAAACATCAAAAATTCCCATTTTTTTGGCCAAACCCCCCAGATTTCGAGGTCCAGGACTGGAATTTTGGGCTGCAAAAGGGAATTTTGGGTTAAAAAAAGGAGATTTTGGGGTTTTTCACTCACTTGTTGGCAGCGTGGCTGTAGCTGACGACCTCGGCCAGGATCCACTGCTCGTCCCCCTCCAGCGCCTTCACCCTGGCGGCCACTTTGTCCCCAGGCTTGGCCACGTAATCCCCGGCGGCCGGGACCCGCCCCGCACAGGGGAGGGGGTCTGGGAGCAGAAAAAGGCAGCAGGGATTTGGTAAATGCCAAAAATTCCCAGGGTTTTAGCCCAAAATTCAGCCCAAAAATTGTGGGAATTGGGTGGAAAAATGTGGGGTGGGTTTGGGGAGGTTTTGGCAAAGTTGTATTAAATTGCTCATAAAAAATTCCTAAAAATTTCAGTTTTTTTTTCTCCTGGAAATTCCCCAAAATTGCATCAAATTCCCCATAAAATTCTCAAAATTTTCCCAAAAATTTTCCCATAAAAATTCCCCAAAATTCCCCAAAATTTCCCCAAAAAATTCCAGAAAATTGCCCCAAAATCACAGTTTTTTTTCTCCTGAAAATACCCCAAAATTCCCCATAAAAATTCCCTCACATTCCACAAAAATCCCATTTTTTTCTCCCCAAAATTCCCTCAAATTCCCTAAAAATTCCAATTTTTTTCTCCTCAAAATTCCCCAAAATTGCATCAAATTCCCGAAAAATTTCAATTTTTTTTGTTCTGAAAGTTCTCCAAAATTCCCCAAAAATTCCAATTTTTTTTTTCTCCTGGAAATTCCCCAAAATTCCCCACAAAAATCCTAAAAATTCCCCAAAAAATCCCAATTTTTTTCTCCTGAAAATTCCCCAAAATTGCCTCAAATTCCCCATAAAAATTCTCAAAAATTCCTAAAAATTCAAAACTTTTTTTCTCCTGAAAGTCCCCCAAATTCCCAATAAAGTTTCTCAAAATTTCCCCATAAAAAGTCCCAAAAATTCCCCAAAAATCCAATTTTTTTTTTTCTCTTGAAAGGCCCCAAAATTCCCTCAAATTCCCCATAAAAATTCCCCAAACTCCCAACTTTTTTTTCTCCTGAAAATTCCCCAAAATTGCCTCAAATTCCCTATAAACATTCCCCAAGAATCCCAATTTTTTTTTTCTCCTGAAAGTCCCCCAAAATTGCCTCAAATTCCCCATAAAAATTCCCAAAAATTCAATTTTTTTTCTCCTGAAAATGCCCTAAATTGCCTCAAATTCCCCATAAAAATTCCCCAAAAAATCCCAATTTTTTTCTCCCCAAAATTCCCCAAAAATCCCAATTTTTTCTCCCCAAAATTCCCCAGAAAATCCCAATTTTTTTGCTCCTGAAAATTCCCCAAAATTCCCATAAAACTTCTCAAAATTTTACCAAAAATTTCCCATTAAAAGTCCCCAAAAATTCCCCATAAAAAAATCCTAGAAATTCCACAAAAATCCCAATATTTTTTCTCCTGAAGGTTCCCCAAATTCCCCCAAAATTCCCCATAAAAATTCCCAAAAATTTCAATTTTTTTTCTCCTGGAAATTCCCCAAAACGGCATCAAACTCCTGAAAAATTTTGATTTTTTTTTGTTCTGAAAGTTCCCCCAAAATTGCCTCAAATTTTTCATAAAAATTTCCCAAAAATTCCACAAAAATCCCATTTTTTTTCTCCTGAAAATTCCCCAAAATTCCCCCAAATTCCCCATAAAAATTCCCCAAAAATCCCAATTTTTTTTCTCCCCAAAATTCCCCAAAAATCTCAATTTTTTCTCCCCAAAATTCCCCAAAAATCCCAATTTTTTTGCTCCTGAAAATTCCCCCAAAAATTCCCATAAAACTTCTCAAAATTTTACCAAAAATTTCCCATAAAAAGTCAACCAAAATTTCCCCAAAATTCCAGAAAATTCCCCAAAAATCCCAATTTTTTTTTCTCCTGAAAATTCCCCAAAATTCCCTCAAATTCCTCATAAGATTCTCAAGATTTTCCCAAAGATTTCCCATAAAAAGTCCCCAAAAATTCCCCATAAAACTTCCTAAATTTCCCCCAAAAATCCCAACTTTTTTTCTCCTGAAAATTCCCCAAAATTCCCCATAAAAATTCTCAAAAATTCCACAAAAATCCAATTTTTTTTCTCCTGAAGGTTCCCCAAAATTGCCTCAAATTCCCCATAAAACTTCTCAAAATTTTGTCATAAAAAGTCCCCCAAAATTCCCCTCAAATTCCCCCCAAAATTCCTAAAAATTCAATTTTTTTCCTCCTCAAAATTCCCACAATTGCATCAAATTCCCGAAAAATTTTAATTTTTTTGTTCTGAAAGTCCCCCCAAAATTTCCTCAAATTCCCCATAAAAATTCCTAAAAATCCCAATTTTTTTTTCGCTTGAAAGTTCCCCAAAATTCCCCCAAAATTCCCCATACAAATTCCTAATATTTCCCCAAAAATCCCAATTTTTTTCTTCCCTCAAATTCCCAAGAAATTCCAATTTTTTTTCTCCCTGGAAATTCCCCAAAATTGCATCAAATTCCCCATAAAAATTCCCAAAAATTTCAATTTTTTTTCTCCTGAAAATACCCCAAAATTCCCTATAAAAATTCCAGAAAATTGCCCCAAAATCGCAGTTTTTTTCTCCTGAAAATTCCCCAAAATTGCATCAAATTCCCCATAAAAATTCCCCATAAATTCAGTTTTTTTTTCTCCTGAAAATTCCCCAAAATTTCCCCATAAAAATTCTCAAAAATTCCCCCAAAAATCCCAATGTTTTTCTCCTGAAAATTCCTAAAATTGCCTTCAAATTCCCCATAAAATTTCTCAAAAATTTCCCAAAAAAGTCCCCCCAAAATTGTAGAAAAGTTGCAGGGAATTGGGTGGGAAACGCGGGGTTTGATGGGGGAGGTTTTGGCAAAATTGCATCAAATTTCCTAAAAATTTTGATTTTTTTTGTTCTGAAAGTTCCCCAAAATGGCCCTCAAATTCCCCATAAAAATTCCCAAAAATTCAATTTTTTTTCTCCTGAAAATTCCCCAAAATTCCCCCAAATTCCCCATAAAAATTCCCCAAAAATCCCAATTTTTTTCTCCCCAAAATTCCCCAAAAATCCCAATTTTTTCTCCCCAAAATTCCCCAAAAATCCCAATTTTTTTCTCCCCAAAATTCCCAAAAACTCCCTCAAATTCCCCATAAAACTTCTCAAAACTTTCCCAAAAATTTCCCATAAAAATTCCCTATTAAAATTCCTAAAAATTCCCCAAAAATTCCATTTTTCTTCCTCCTGAAAATTCCCCAAAATTCCCCATACAAATTCCCTCAAATTCCCCCAAAATTCCAATTGTTTTCTCCTGAAAATTCCCCATAATTCCCCTCAAATTTCCCAAAAATTCAAATTTTTTATTCTCCTGAAAATTCCCCACAATTCCCTCAAATTCCCCATAAAAATTCCCAAAAAATTCAATTTTTTTTTCTCCTGGAAATTCCCCAAAATTCCTCAAATTCCCCATAAAAATTCCCAAAAATTCAATTTTTTTTTCTCCTGAAAAATACCCCAAAATTCCCCATAAAAAATTCCTAAAAATTCAATTTTTTTCTCCTGAAAATTCCCCATAATTCCCTCAAATTTCCGAAAAAATTCAAATTTTTTATTCTCCTGAAAATTCCCCATAATTCCCTCAAATTTCCCAGAAAATTCAAATTTTTTATTCTCCTGAAAATACCCCAAAATTCCCTACAAAAATTCCAGAAAATTGCCCCAAAATCGCAGGTTTTTTCTCCTGAAAATTCCCCAAAATTGCATCAAATTCCCCATAAAAATTCCTAAAAATTCAATTTTTTTTCTCCTGAAAATTCCCCAAAATTGCATCAAATTCCCCATAAAAATTCCTAAAAATTCAATTTTTTTTCTCCTGGAAATTCCCCCAAAATTGCATCAAATTCCCCATAAAAATTCCCAAGAATTTCAATTTTTTTTCTCCTGAAAGTACCCCTAAACGGCATCAAATTCCTGAAAAAATTTGATTTTTTTTGTCCTGAAAGTTCCCCAAAATTCCCTCAAATTCCCTATAAACATTCCCCAAAAATCCCATATTTTTTTCTCCTAAAAGTCCCCCAAAATTCCCTCAAATTCCCCCATAAAACTTCTCAAAAATTTCCCATAAAAAGTCAAACCAAAATTTCCCCAAAATTCCAGAAAATTCCCCAAAAATCCCAATTTTTTTTCTCCTGAAAATTCCCCAAATTCCCCCCAAAATTCCCCATAAAAATTCCCTCAAATTCCACAAAAATCCCATTTTTTTCTCTCCCAAAATTCCCTCAAATTTTCCCATAAAAATTCCCCAAAATTCCCAAATATTTTCTCCTAAAAGTCCCCCCAAAATTCCCTCAAATTCCCCATACAAATTCCTAATATTTCCCCAAAAATCCCAATTTTTTTTCTTCCTCAAATTCCCAAAAAATTCCAATTTTTTTTTCTCCTGAAAATGCCCCAAAATTGCCTCAAATTCCCCATAAAAAATTCCCCATAAATTCAGGGTTTTTTTCCTCTGGAAATTCCCCAAAATTGCATCAAATTCCCCATAAAAATTCCTAAAAATTCAGGTTCTTTTTCTCCTGGAAATTCCCCAAAAATTGCATCAAATTCCCCAAAAATTCAAATTTTTTTTCTCCTGAAGGTTCCCCAAATTCCCTCAAATTCCCCCCAAAAAATCCTAAAAATTCCAGTTTTTTTTTCTCTTGAAAGTCCCCAAAATTCCCTCAAATTGCCCATTAAAAAATCCTAAAATTGCCCCAAAAATCCCCATTTTTTTTCTCCCCAAAATTCCCCATACAAACTCCCCCAAAATTCCCTATGAAAATTCCCTCAAATTCCCCAAAATTCCAATCTTTTTCTCCTGAAAGTTCCCCAAAAATTCCATTTTTTTTCACCTGAAAATACCTCAAAATTCCCCATAAAAATTCCCTCAAATTCCTCATAAAAATTCCTAAAAATTCCAATTTTTTTTCTCCTCAAAATTCCCCAAAATTCCCTCAAATTCCCCATAAAAATCCTAAAAAATCCCCAAAAATTCCATTTTTTTTCTCTCCTGAAAGTTCCCCAAATTACCCTTAAAATTTCTCAAAATTTTTCCCATAAAAAGTCCCCAAAAATTCCCCCAAAAATCCCGATTTTTTTCTCCTGAAAATTCCCAAAATTCCCCCAAAATTCCCCATAAAAATTCCCAAAAATTTCAAATTTTTTTCTCCTGAAAATACCCCAAAATTGCATCACATTCCTGAAAAATTTCGATTTTTTTTTGTTCTGAAAGTTCCCCCAAAATTGCCTCAAATTCCCCATAAAAATTCCTAAAATTCCCTAAAAATCCCAATATTTTTTCTCTTGAAAATTCCCCAAAATTCCCCAAATTCCCCATAAAAATTCCCCAAAAATCCCAATTTTTTTCTCCCCAAAATTCCCCAAAAATCCCAATTTTTTTCTCCTGAAAATTCCCCCAAAATTCCCATAAAACTTCTCAAAATTTTACCAAAAATTTCCCATAAAAAGTCCCCAAAAATTCCCCATAAAAATTCTCAAAAATTCCAATTTTTTTCTCATGAAAATTCCCCAAAACTCCCTCAAATTCCCCATAAAATTCTCAAAATTTTCCCAAAAATTTCCCATAAAAAGTCAACCAAAATTTCCCATAAAATTCCCTCAAATTCCACAAAAATCCCAATTTTTTTCTCCCCAAAAATTCCCCATAAAAATTCTCAAAAATTCCCCAAAAATCCCATTTTTTTTCTCCTCAAATTTCCACAAAATTGCCTCAAATTCCCCATAAAACCTCTCAACATTTTCTCATAAAAATTCCCCAAAATTCCCCCAAATTTTCCAACATATTTCCAAAAATATCCCAAAGTGTTCCCAAAAATTCCCCATAAAAATTCCCAAAAAATCCCCAACATTTCCCATAAAAATTCCCCTCAAAAATTCCCCAAAACTCTCAAAATTTTCCCAAAAATCCCCACTTTTCCTCCCAAATCCCTCTTTACCTTCCCAAATCCCTCATTATCCCCCAAAATTCCCTTTTTTTCCCCAATTTTTCCCCAAATTTTCCCAATTTTTTCCCATTTTGTCCTCATTTTTCCCCACATTTCCCAACCCACAGCACCACCATCCTCAGCACTCCTCCAATCCCCTTTTATCCCCCCCCAAATCTCCATTTTTTTAGCAAAAATTCTCCCTTTTTTCCCCCAAATATCCCACTTTTCCTCCCAAATTCCCACTTTACCCCTCCCAAATCCCTCATTATCCCCCAAATTTCCCCTTTTTTTTCCCAATTTTCCCAATTTTTTCCCCATTTTTTCCTCCCTTTTCCTCACATTTCCCAACCCACAGCACCACCCTCCTCAGCACCCTCCAATCCCCTTTTTATCCCCCCCCAAATCTCCATTTTTTAGCAAAATTCTCCCTTTTTTCCCCCAAATTCCACTTTAACTCCTCCCAAATCCCTCATTATCCCCCAAATTTCCCTTTTTTTTCCCAATTTTTCCCCATTTTTTCCCCACATTTCCTAACCCACAGCACCACCATCCTCAGCACCCTCCAATCCCCTTTTATCCCCCCAAATCTCCATTTTTTTAGCAAAATTCTCCCTTTTTTCCCCCAAATTCCCACATTTCCCCCCCCCAAATCCCTCTTTACCTTCCCAAATCCCTCATTTTTTCCCCAAATTTCCCTTTTTTTTTCCCAATTTTTTCCCCATTTTTCCTCACTTTTCTCCAGACTTCCCCACCCCAGCACCACCATCCTCAGCACCCTCAAATCCCCTTTTATCCCCCCAAATCTCCATTTTTTTAGCAAATTTCTCCCTTTTTCCCCCCCAAATTCCCACTTCTTTTCCCCCCCAAATCCCTCTTTACATTCCCAAATCTTTCATTATCCCCCAAATTTCCTTTTTTTTTTTTCCCAATTTTTCCACTTTTCCCCCCAAATCCCTCTTTACATTCCCAAATCTTTCATTATCCCCCAAATTTCCTTTTTTTTTTTCCCAATTTTTCCCCATTTTTCCTCCCTTTTCTCCAGACTTCCCAATCCACAGCACCACCATCCTCAGCACCCTCCAATCCCCTTTTATCCCCCCCAAATCTCCATTTTTTTAGCAAATTTCTCCCACTTTTCCCCCCAAATCCTCTTTACCTTCCCAAATCCCTCATTATCCCCCAAAATTCCCTTTTTTTTTCCCAATTTTCCCCCAAATTTTCCCAATTTTTTCCCATTTTTCCTCACTTTTCTCCAGGCTTCCCAACCCACAGCACCACCATCCTCAGCACCCTCCAATCCCCTTTTATCCCCCCAAATCTCCATTTTTTTAGCAAAATTCTCCCTTTTTTCCCCAAAATTCCCTCTTTACCTTCCCAAATCCCTCATTATTCCCCAAATTTCCCCTTTTTTTCCCAATTTTTCCCCATTTTTCCCCACTTTTCTCCAGGCTTCCTGATCCACAGCACCACCATCCTCAGCACCATCAAATCCCCTTTTATCCCCCCCAAATCTCCATTTTTTAAGCAAATTTCTCCCCTTTTCCCCCAAATTCCCACTTTTCCTCCCAAATTCCCACTTTACCCTCCCAAATCCCTCATTATTCCCCAAATTTCCCTTTTTTTCCCATTTTTTCCCCATTTTTCCCCACATTTCCCAACCCACAGCACCACCATCCTCAGCACCCTCCAATCCCCTTTTATCCCCCCCAAATCTCCATTTTTTTAGCAAATTTCTCCCTTTTTTCCCCCAAATTCCCACTTTACCCTCCAAAAACCCTCATTATCCCCCAAATTTCCTTTTTTTTCCCCAATTTTTCCCCATTTTTCCTCCCTTTTCTCCAGACTTCCCAATCCACAGCACCACCATCCTCAGCACCCTCCAATCCCCTTTTATCCCCCCCAAATCTCCATTTTTTTAGCAAATTTCTCCCACTTTTCCCCCCAAATCCCTCTTTACCTTCCAAATCCCTCATTATCCCCCAAAATTCCCTTTTTTTTTCCCAATTTTCCCCCAAATTTTCCCAATTTTTCCCCATTTTTCCTCACTTTTCTCCAGGCTTCCCGACCCACAGCACCACCATCCTCAGCACCCTCCAATCCCCTTTTATCCCCTCCAAATCTCCATTTTTTAACAAAATTCTCCCTTTTTTCCCCCAAATTCCCACTTTTCCTCCCAAATTCCCACTTACCCTCCCAAATCCCTCATTATCCCCCAAATTTCCTTTTTTTCCCCAATTTTCCCTAATTTTTCCCCATTTTTCCTCACTTTTTCTCCAGGCTTCCCCACCCACAGCACCACCATCCTCAGCACCCTCCAATCCCCTTTTATCCCCCCCAAATCTCCATTTTTTTAGCAAAATTCTCCCTTTTTCCCCCAAATTCCCACTTTACCCTCCCAAATCCCTCATTATCCCCAAAATTCCCTTTTTTTCCCAATTTTTCCCCATTTTTCCTCACTTTTCTCCGGGTTTCCCGATCCACAGTGGCAGCGTCATGGCCGACTGCTGCAGCAGCGTCATCAGCACCCCCCTCCTCATCGTCTTCCTTGGCGGCTCCGCCTCGCTGTAAATCCCGGCGATTTTTGCCGCTGGAATTATAAAAATTTTTTAAAAACCCAAATTCTTTAAAAATTTGAGGGATTTGGGTGGAATTTTAAGGGATTTGAAAGGGTTTGAGGCGTTTCCCGCCTTTTTTTCCGGCCGTGAGGGGAGCGGCGGCGCGGCGCCCCCTGGCGGCCGTACCAATGCGGCGCTCCTCGAGCAGGGATTTGATCTCGGCGATTTTATCCAGAGCTCTCCGGAGAACGCTGAAAAATGAGGGGAAAAAAAGTAAAACTTTGGAATAAAAGTGGAGTTTGGAAGGTGGGAAGGGAAAAGGGAGGGATTTTGGGGGGAAAAATGGGGTTTTTGGGGAAAAAGGGAGGAGGAGGGCGGGGGGAAATGGGGGGTTTAGGGAAAATTGGGAGGGAATTGTGAGGGAAAATCTGAGGGGGAAAAGGAAAATTAGAGGGGAAACAGCAGAAATCTGAGGGGGAAAAGGGGAAGTCTGAGGGAGAAAAGTGGGAATTTAAAGGAATAAAGTGGGAATTTAAAGGAATAAAGTGGGAATTTGATAGGAAAAGTGGGAATCTGAGGGAGAAAAGGGGAAATTAGCAGGGAAACAACAGAAATCTGAGGGGAAAAAGGGGAAATCTGAGGGGGGAAAAGTGGGAATTTAAAGGAATAAAGTGGGAATTTGTAGGGAAAAGTGGGAATCCGAGGGGAAAAGCAAGAATCTGAGGGAAAAAAGTAGAAATTAGCAGGGAAACAGAGGAAATCTGAGGAGGGAAAGGGGAAATCTGAGGGGGAAAAGTCAGAATCTGAGGGGGAAGAAATGGGAATTTGATAGGAAAAGTGGGAATCTGAAGGGGAAAAGTGGGAATTTAAAGGGATAAAGTGGGAATCTGAGGGATAAAAGGGGAAATTAGCAGGGAAACAACAGAAATCTGAGGGGAAAAAGGGGAAATCTGAGGGAGAAAAGTGGGAATTTAAAGGAATAAAGTGGGAATTTGTAGGGAAAAGTGGGAATCTGAGGGGAAAAAGTGGGAATCTGAGAGAAAAAATGGAAATTTGAGGGGGAAAAAGTGGGAATTTAAAGGAATAAAGTGGGAATTTGAAGGGGAAAGTGGAAATCCGAGGGGAAAAGCAGAAATCTGAGGGAAAATAGGGGAAATCTGAGGGAAAAAAGTAGAAATTAGCAGGGAAACAGAAGAAATCTGAGGGGGGAAAAGGGGAAATGTGAGGGGGAAAAGTGGGAATGTGAAGGGATAAGGTGGGAATTTGAGAGAAAAAGCAAAAATTGGAGGTGGAAAAAAAATCTGAGGGCAAAAAGTCAGAATTTGAGGGGGGGGAAAATGGGAATTTGATGGGAAAAGTGGGAATCTGAGGGGAAAAAGTGGGAATTTGAAGGAATAAAGTGGGAATTTGAAGGGAAAAGTGGAAATCTGAGGGGAAAAAGTGGGAATCTGAGAGAAAAAATGGAAATTTGAGGGGGAAAAGTGGGAATTTAAAGGAATAAAGTGGGAATTTGAAGGGAAAAGTGGGAATCTGAGAGGGAAAAAACAGAAATCTGAGGGAAAAAGTAGAAATTAGAAGGGAAAGAGCAGAAATCTGAGGGGAAAAAAGGGGAAATCTGAGGGGGGAAAAGTGGGAATTTAAAGGAATAAAGTGGGAATTTGAAGGGAAAAGTGGGAATCCGAGGGGAAAAGCAGAAATCTGAGGGAAAAAAGTAGAAATTAGCAGGGAAACAGAAGAAATCTGAGGGGAAAAAAGGGGAAATCTGAGGGCAAAAAGTCAGAATCTGAGGGGGGAAATGGGAATTTGATAGGAAAAGTGGGAATCTGAGGGGGGAAAAGTGGGAATTTAAAGGAATAAAGTGGGAATTTGAAGGGAAAAGTGGAAATCTGAGGGGAAAAAGTGGGAATCTGAGGGAAAAAAATGTAAATTTGAGGGACAAATGTGGAAATTTGAAGGAATAAAGTGGGAATTTGAAGGGAAAAGTGGGAATCTGAGAGGGAAAAACAGAAATCTGAGGGAAAAAGTAGAAATTAGAAGGGAAACAGCAGAAATCTGAGGGGAAAAAGGGGAAATCTGAAGGGAAAAGTGGAATTTAAAGGAATAAAGTGGGAATTTGTAGGGAAAAGTGGGAATCCGAGGGGAAAAGCAGAAATCTGAGGGGAAAAAGTAGAAATTAGCAGGGAAACAGAAGAAATCTGAGGGGAAAAAGGGGAAATCTGAGGGGGAAAAGTGGGAATTTGAAGGGATAAGGTGGGAATTTGAGAGAAAAAGCAAAAATTGGAGGTGGAAAAAAATTCTGAGGGCAAAAAGTCAGAATCTGAGGGGGGAAAATTGGGAATTTGATGGGAAAAGTGGGAATCTGAGAGAAAAAATGGAAATTTGAGGGGGAAAAGTGGGAATTTGAAGGAATAAAGGAGGAATTTGAAGGGAAAAGTGGGAATTGGAAGGGAAAAGCAGAAATCTGAGGGAAAATAGGGGAAATCTGAGGGAAAAAGTAGAAATTAGCAGGGAAACAGAAGAAATCTGAGGGGAAAAAGGGGAAATCTGAGGGCAGAAAGTCAGAATCTGAGGGGGGAAATGGGAATTTGTTAGGAAAAGTGGGAATCTGAGGGGGAAAAGTGGGAATTTGATGGGAAAAGTGGGAATCTGAGGGATAAAAGGGGAAATTAGCAGGGAAACAACAGAAATCTGAGGGGAAAAAGGGGAAATCTGAGGGAGAAAAGTGGGAATTTAAAGGAATAAAGTGGGAATTTGAAGGGGAAAGCGGAAATCTGAGGGGAAAAGCAGAAATCTGAGTTAAAATAGGGGAAATCTGAGGGAAAAAAGTAGAAATTAGCAGGGAAACAGAAGAAATCTGAGGGGGAAAAGGGGAAATGTGAGGGGGAAAAGTGGGAATGTGAAGGGATAAGGTGGGAATTTGAGAGAAAAAGCAAAAATTGGAGGTGAAAAAAAATCTGAGGGCAAAAAGTCAGAATCTGAGGCGGAAAATGGGAATTTGATAGGAAAAGTGGGAATCTGAGGGGGAAAAGTGGGAATTTAAAGGAATAAAGTGGGAATTTGAAGGGAAAAGTGGAAATCTGAGGGACAAATGTGGGAATTTGAAGGAATAAAATGGAATTTGAAGGGAAAAGTGGGAATTTGAAGGGAAAAGTGGAAATCTGAGGGAAAAGTGGAATCTTAAAGGAAAAAGAGGAAATTGAGAAGAAAATATGAAAATCTGAGGGAGAAAAGTGGGAATTTGAAGGGAAAAAGCAGAAATAGGAAGTGAAAAATATCTGTGAGCAAAAGGTGAGAAATGTGAGGGAAAAAAGTGGGAATCTGAGGGGGGAAAAGTAGAAATTTGAAGGGAAAATCACAAATCTGAGGGGGATAAGCAGAAATCTGAGGGGAAAAAAGAGGAAATCTGAGGGGAAAAAGAGGAAATCTGAGGGGAAAAATGGGAATTTTGAGGAAAAAAAGTTGGAATTTGAAGGGATAAAGTGGAAATCTGAAGGGATAAAGTAGAAATTGGAGGTTTTTTGGGTTTAAAAATGGGAATTCTGGACTCACTTGCACTCGGCCTCAGCATCTGCCTTGGCTGTGGTGTAGAGCCCTCGGAGCTTGGTGCGGTAATAGGGGGAAACTGAAGAGGATTTTGGGGGTCAAAATGCCCAAAAAAACCCCAAATCCCCCCCAAAATTCCCTCTAAATCCCAGAATTTGTTACTTTTGTTCTCTGTCTGCATCCGCTCGTGAGTTTTCTGGATGTTCACCAGGTTGTGCTCGCTGCGGGAGCGTTCCTCCTGAGGGAAAAATGGGGAAAAAAATGGAGAAAATTGGAGAAAAAGGGGAGAAATGAGGAAAAAAGAGGAGAAATTGGGGAAAAAAGGGGGAAAATTGGGGAAAAAAGGGGGAAAATTGGGGAAAAAAATGGAAAAAATAGGGAAAAAATAGGGAAAAATCAGGGGAAAAAGGAGAGGAAAAGGGGCGAAAATGAGGAAAAAAGGAGGAAAAAAAGGATGTTTGGGTTAATAAAGGGGGATTTATGAGGGAAAGATTGGGAAATTTGGGGGTTGGAGTTAATAAATTTAGATTTATGAGGGAAAAAATAGGGATTTTGAGGGGTGAGAATTAATAAGGAAAAGGTTTTGAGGGAAAAGTGATGGATTTGGGGGTTGGAGTTAATAAAGGGGGATTTGTGAGGGAAAAAATGGGGGAGTTTGGAGGGTGGAGTTTATAAATGGAGATTTTTGAGGGGAAAATGTGGGGTTTTTAAGGGTTGAAGTTAATAAAGAGAAATTTTGAGGGAAAAAAACTGAGAAAAATTGGGGATTTTAGGAAAAAAAAAAAAGGATTTGGAGGTGGGAATGTGGAATTTGAGTCAATTAAGAGAGATTTGGATAGAAGCAGGTGATTTGGGGGCAAAAATGTTTCAAATTTTGATAGTAAAATTTGTGAATTTGGTATAAAATGGGCCATTTTGCAATAGCAATGGGCAGTTTTTATGGTAAAATAGGTGATTTTAGGTCTAGATATGCTCGATTTTTGGGCAAAACGAATGCTTTAGGGCTAAAAACTGGTGGTTTTGTGAGGTTTGTGAGGGGGAAACGGGGGATTTGTGAGGGGAAAATGCAAATTTGCGAGGGGAAAATGCAAATCTGTGAGGGGAAAATGCAAATTTGTGGGGAGATATGAAGGAGAAACACGGAGGTCCGTGAGGGGAAAGAGGTGATTTTGGGGTGAAATGGGTTGATTTTGGAGGTCCGTGAGGGAAAAAGAGGCGATTTTGGGGTGAAATGGGTGATTTTGGAGGTCCGTGAGGGGAAACGGGAGGGAAATAACGGGACCGGTGAGGAGAAATCGGAGAAAAGTGCAGCAAACGGGGATCGGGGATGGAAAACGGGGGATCCTAAGGAGGAAAGAGAAATCCTTCAAGAAAATTGGAAGCTCCTAAAAGAAATTCCGGTACCTGCGTCTGTTTAATGAGCTGGTGCAGCTCCCCCAGCAGCTCCGCGATGCGGGAATCGGCCGAGACCAGCGCCATGACGGGAGAATGGAACGGGGATGGGAGGGGCAAAATGGCGGCGGCTCCTGAGGGAGGGGCGGGAGGGAGGGGGGGGCGGGACAAAATGGCGGCACCGCCTCAGAGCGGGCACAAACCACGCCCATATAACACCATATATGGTTAAAGACACGCCTATTTTTCTTATATGGCATAAAGCCTCCCACTATATTATTATTTACGCTGCGCTTAAATCACGCCCACAATATTCCTTATATGGATACGCTCGTGAAAAAGCCACGCCATCATCTCCTACTATGGATTTTCCTCGCTTAAAGCCACGCCCACAAATTTCCAAATATGGATTTGCTTTGGAAAAGTCACGTGCTCGCGGTGTCACTATGACCGGCTCCCAACATGGCGGACGAGGAACCGCTGCTGCCGCCGGGTGAGAGGCAAAAACGGGGAACAAAAGTGGGATAAAAACCGGGAATTGGGGAAAAAAACCTGGAATTAAAACCGGGATAAGGAGCCGGGAATGGAGTCGGGAAGGGGAACAGGGAGCGGGGAAGGGGGCCGTAAAACGGGCCGGGGGACATAAAACCGACCCCAAAATCTGCCAAATTTCCCCCAAAATCCCTTCAAAACTTCTCCTCTCCCCCTCAGACGAAGACTCCGCCTCTCCCCCGCCTCCCCCTCCCCCTCCGGCCTCCTCCTGGCGAATCGGAGCCGCTTTTTGGTGAGTGCCCCGCCCCCATTTTAAACCACGCCCCCAAGCCCCTACCGACTTCAACCCCCCAAAATTTCCCGCCAAAACCTCACCTTTTCACCCCTCCCCTCCCCCAAAACCACGCCCCTTTCAGGCGTCCCACACCCAGGTGTGACCACGCCCACTCGCGTGGCCACGCCCCTCTAAGCCCCGCCCTCCACAGGATTTTGGGCCTCTGTAACAACCTCCCCTATGTGGTGATGCTCAGCGCCGCCCGCGACCTGCTGGAGCCCCGCCCCGTGAGTGGCCACGCCCATTTTTGGGGCCACACCCTGTTTTGTAGTAGCCACGCCCCTTTTTGAAAGGCCACGCCTCTTTTTCTGATTGGATGTTGGGGGATTTTTCCCGGGTTTTTTTAGGGGAAGAGCGGCGGAATCGGAGCCGGCACGACTGCGATCCTGTGGGGACTGGGGTGGGTGGGGCTTAAAGGGGGCGGGGCTTAACTGGGTGGGGACTAAATGGGTGGGAATTAACTGGGAAAGGGTTTAAAGGGGTGGGGCTTAAATGGGAGTGGCTTGAAGGGGTGGGGCTTGAATGGGAGTGGCCTTGATGGGTGGGGCTTAAGTGGGCGGAGATTATTGGGGTGGAGTTAAATGGGCGGGGCTTAAAGGTTGGGGTAAAGGGGTGGGGCTTAAATGGGTAGAGCTAAAAGGGGCAGGGTTTAAATGGGAGGGGCTTAAATTTTTGGAGGTTTAGGGGTGGGGCTTAAGTGGGGTGGGGCTTAAATGGGTGGGGCTTCAAGAGTAGGGATTTAATAGGAGGGACTTGAAGGGGTGGGGCTTAAAGGGGTGGGGTTTTAAACGGGAGGGGCTTAAATGGGAGGAGCTTAAAGGGGCAGGGTTTAAATGGGAGGGGCTTAAATTATTGGAGGCTTAAGGGTGGGGCTTAAGTGGGTGGGGCTTAAGTGGGTGTGGCTTCCAGAGTAGGGATTAAATAGGAGGGAATTGAATGGGTGGGGCTTAAATAGGAAAGGTTTCAAGGGGAGGGGCTTAAATGGGCGGGGCTTAAATGGGAGCAATTGAAAGGGATGCGGATTAAAGGGCGGGCTTAAGGGGTGGGAATTAAGTGGGAGGGGCTTGAAGGGGTGGGGCTTAAATGGAGGAGGGGCTTAAATGGGAGGGGCTGAAAGGGGCAGGGTTTAAGTGGGTGGGGCTTAAATTTTTGGAGGTTTGAGGGGGTGGAGCTTAAAGGGGTGGGGTTAAAAATTTTGGGGGTTTGAGGGGGTGGAGTTTAAATGGGTGTGGCATAAAGGGGAGGGGCTTAAAGGGGCGTGGCTCCTCAGGCCGTCCTATTGGCCGATGTCGTCCCCCGCCCTGGTGGTGAAGCTGCTGCTGCCCCTGGTGGGGCCTTACCTGCCCGACAGGTAAAAAGGGGCGGGGCTTAAGGGGGCGGGGCTTAAAGGGGTGTGGCTTAAGGGGCGGGGCCTTAAAGGGGGGACTTAAAGGGGCGGGGCTTAAAGGGGATTGGGGAAAATTGGAAAATTTGGGGGGAAAATGGAAGGGGGTAAAAGAGAAAGGGCGGGGCTTAAAGGGGCGGGGCTAAAGGGGGCGGGGCTTAAAAGGGGATTGGGAAATTGGAAAATCTGAGGGGAAAATTGAAGGGGTAAAAGGGAAATTTTTTGAGAAAAAATGAAATTTTTGGGGGGAAAATAGGAAATTTATTTTTAATTAAGGGATTTTTGGGGAAAAAGGGAATTTTTTTGTGAAAATATTGGATTTTTTTGTGGAAATAAAGGAATTTTTTGGTGAAAATACTGGAATTTTTGGAGGAAAAAAGGAATTTTTTTTGAGAAAATATTGGAATTTTGGGGGAAAAAAGGGAATTTTTTTGAGAAAATATTGGATTTTTTTGGGGGGAAAAAAGGGAATTTTTCTGTGAGAATATTGGAATTTTTTTGGGGGAAAAAAAAGGGATTTTTTTTCAGATTTGGGGGAAGAAACTGGGTTTATTTTTAGGAATGGAATTTTGGGTTGAAAAAGGGCAATTTTGGTGGTTTTTGCCCGCAGGTTGCGCGTGGTGGGCGTGGCCCTGTGCCTGTGGGGCAGCGTCAGCGCCGTGGCCGCCGCCAAAGGGACCCTGAGCGGCCTCGGGGGTGAGAGGGGACACGGGGTCAATTGGGGTCAATTGGGGTCAATTGGGTCAATCGGGGTCAATTGGGGTCAATTGGGGTCACTCAGAGTCGTTTTGGGGCATCTTGGGAATTTTTTTGGATTTTTTAAGGAATTTTTTGGGATTTTTTGAGATTTTATTTGAGGTTTTTTTTAGGATTTTTTTTTTTAGATTTTTATGAGGTTTTTTGAGATTTTTTGAGACTTTTATGAGATTTTTTTGGGATTTTTTGTAAATTTTTTCGGGATTTTTTTGGGATTTTTAAAGGATTTTTTGGGGATTTTTGGAGATTTTTCCGTGATTTTTTGGAGATTTTTTGGGGACTTTTTGGAGATTTTTTGCGGATTTTTTTGAGGATTTTTTGAGGATTTTTTTGAGATTTTTATGAGGTTTTTTTAGGATTTTTTTGAGATTTTTTGAGGGTTTTTGGGGATTTTTGGAGATTTTTTTTGAGATTTTTTTGAGATTTTTTTTTGAAGTTTTGGGGAATTTTTTTGAGATTTTTTTGGATATTTTTTGAGATTTTTTTGAGACTTTTTGGGGATTTTTTTGGGATCTTTTTGACATTCTTTGGAGATTTTTATGAAATTTTTTTGGGGATTTTTATAAGATTTTTTGGGACTTTTTGAGATTTTTTTTTGGAGATTTTTTGGAGATTTTTTGGAGATTATTTTGATTTTTGGGGATTTTTTTGGTGATTTTGGGGTTGGGGTCACTCAGGTGTCACTTGTGGTCACTCGGGATCACTTGGGGTCAATTGGGGTCACTCAGAGTCGTTTTGGGGCATTTTGGGAATTTTTGGGATTTTTTAAGGATTTTTTGGGGGAATTTTTGGGGATTTTTTGAGATTTTATTGAGTTTTTTTTGAGATTTTTTTGAGGGTTTGTTTGAGGTTTTTTTGAGGTTTTTATGAGATTTTTTGGGGATTTTTTCTAGGTTTTTTGAGGGTTCTTTTGAGGTTTTTTGGGGGTTTTTTCGAGATTTTTTTTGAGGGTTTTTGGGGTTTTTGGGATTTTTTTTTAAGATTTTTTTGAGGTTTTTTGAGATTTTTTTGAGAAATTTTTGAGATTTTTTTGAGATTTTTTGAGGTTTTTTGGGTATTTTTTTGGAGATTTTTTGAGGTTTTTTGGGGATTTTTTCGAGATTTTTTTGAGGTTTTTTGGGGTTTTTGGGGATTTTTTGAGATTTTTTGAAGTTTTTTGGAGATTTTTTGGTAATTTTTGGGTTGGGGTCACTCAGGGGTCACTCAGGGGCACTTGGGGTCACTCAGAGTCGTTTTGGGGCATTTTTGGAATATTTGGGGATTTTTTTGAGATTTTTTGGGGGGTTTTATGAGATTTTTTGAGCATTTTTGGAGATACTTTGGGGATTTTTTTGAGATTTTTTTGAGGTTCTTGGAGATTTTTTTTGAGATTTTTTTGAGTTTTTTTTGAGATATTTTTGAGATTTTTTTGAGATTTTTTGAGTTTTTTTGGGGATTTTTCTGGAGATTCTTGGGAGATTTTTTGGGGATGTTTTTGAGATTTTTGGGGATTTTTTGGGGATTTTTTGAGGACTTTTTTGAGATTTCTTGGAGTTTTTTTGTGAATTTTTAAAGATTTTTTGGCATTTTGGGGGGGATTTTTTGAGGATTTTTTGGGGATTTTTTTGAGGTTTTTTTAGGACTTTTTTTAGATTTTTTTTGAGGTTTTTTTAGGATTTTTTTGAGATCTTTTTGACATTCTTTGGAGATTTTTATGAGTTTTTTGGGGATTTTTGGAGATATTTTTGAGATTTTTTTTGAGATTTTTTGGGGATTTTTTTGAGATTTTTTGAGGTATTTTGAGGATTTTTTTGAGGATTTTTTGAGAGTATTTGGGGATTTTTTTCAGATTTTTTGAGTGGTTTTTTTGATTTTTTTTAATTTTTGGGATTTGGGGTGATTTTTGGGGTTGGGGTCACTCAGGGGTCACTCGGGGTCACTCAGAGTCATTTTGGGATATTTCCGGAATATTTGGGGATTTTTTTTGAGATTTTTTTGGGGATTTTTGGAGATTTTTTTGGAGATTTTTTGGAGGTTTTTTTGAAATTTTTTGGGGATTTTTTGAGATGATTTTGAAATTTTTTGGAGATTTTTTTGAGATTTTTTGAGGATTTTTTTGAGATTTTTTTGAGATTTTTTGGAGTTTTTTTGGGGATTTTTTGAGGGTTTTTTTGAGATTTTTGGAGTTTTTTTGGGGGATTTTTTTGAGATTATTTTGGGATCTTTTTGACTTTTTTGGAGATTTTTTTTATTTTTTGGGGGGATTTTTTTGAGATTTTTTTGGGCATTTTTTGGGGGATTTTTGGGGGATTTTTTGGGGATTTTTGGGGTTGGGGTCACTCAGGGTCCCTCTTTGTCCCCCAGGTGTGGCTCTGGGCAGTGCGGGGGCGGGGCTTGGTGAGGTCACCTTCCTGACCTTGGCCTCCTCCTACCCCAGGTAAGGGGGGCGTGGCCTCACCTCAGCTGGGCGTGGCTACACCTCATGGCCACGCCCACCTGGGCCACGCCCCAAAATGGGGGGGAGGGACCAAAAAAATGCAAAAAAAAAAAGAGGCAGAATTGGCCAAATTTGGTTCAAATCGGCTCAAAATGGGAATGGGGTGGGGCCAAGTGGGCGTGGCTTGATTTTGGTGGGCGTGGCTTTAAAATGGGGTTAAAATTCCCTAGAATTGGTCCAAAATTATCAAAATTTGGGTCCAAATTGGCCAAATTTGGTCCAAATATTAAAAATTTGGGCGAGGGGTGCGGCCAAGTGGGCGGGGCTTGATGTGGGTGGGCGTGGCCACACACAATGTGGGCATAGCTTTAAAATCGGATAAAATTTTGTTTAAATCACCTGAATTTTGTCAAAATTGGCCAAATTTGGTCGAAAATCACCAAAAAAATGGATTGGGGGTGGAGCCTGGTGGGCGGGGCTTTCTCCGATGGGCGGTGGCCAGACAAAAAGTGGGCGGGGCTTTAAAATTGTGTAAAAATCCTTAAAAATTTGTTCCAAAATCACCAAAATTGGGTCCAAATTGGCCAAATTTGGTCAAAAGCTGCCAAAACCATAAGTGGGTGTGGCCAAGTGGGCGGGGCTTAAAGTGGGTGGGCGTTGTCAGGCAAAAAGTGGGCGGGGCTCAAAAATGCAGGTAAAAATTCATAAAATTGATCCAAAATTACCAAAATTTGGGGTCCAAATTGGCCAAATTTGTTTAAATTCAGCCAAAAAATGGGAGTGGGGGCAGGGCCAAGTGGGCGGGGACTTATGTGGATGGGCGGGGCCATATAAAATGTGGGCGGGGCTTTAAAATTGGGCGAAAATATTCAAAAATTGGGTCCAAAATCACCAAAATTGGGGCAAAATTGGCAAAATTTGGTCAAAATCAGCCAAAAATGGGAGTGGGGGCGGGACCAAGTGGGCGGGGACTTCATGTGGGTGGGCGTGGCCCCCAAAAGTGGGTGGGGCTTCTAAGTGGGGTGAAAATATTCAAAAATTGGGGTAAATCACCAAAATTGGGGCAAATTGGCCAAAAATGGGAGTGAGGTGGGGCCAAGTGGGCGGGAGCTTCATGTGGGTGGGCGTGGCCACACAAAAATTGGGTGAAGCTTTAAAATGGGGTGAAAATATTCAAAAATTGGGGCAAAATTGGCCAAATTTGGTTAAAATCAGCCAAAAAATGGGTGTGGGGCTAAGTGGGCGGGGCTTTATGGGGTGGGCGTGGCCAGCCTAAAAGTGGGTGGGGGCTTTAAAATTGGGTTGAAATTCTCCAGAATTGGGTCAAAAATCACCCAAATTTATTCAAAATCAGCCAGAATTGGATTGGGTTGGGGCCAAGTGGGTGGGGCTTCATGTGGGTGGGCGTGGCCATAGAAAAAGTGGGCGGGGCTTTAAATGGGCTTTAAATCCATCAAAATTTGGTCCAAAATCACCAAAATTGGCTCCAAATTGGTCAAAACCGTGAATTTCCGAAGTGGGCGTGGCCACTCTAACTGGCTCCTCCCCCAGCAGCTCCGGGCTCTCCCATTGGTCGTCGGGGACGGGCGCGGCCGGACTGGGCGGAGCTTTGGGGTTCTGGGGGCTGAGGGCGTGGCTGCCCCTCCCCCATTCGCTGCTGCCGTTCCTGGCCCTGCCCCCCCTGATGCTGCTCAGGTCAGACCCAAAATTCTCGTTTTTTAACCCAAAAATTTCACCTTTTTAACCTCAAAATTTCACCTTTTTTAACCCAAAAAATGCAACGTTTTAAGCCCAAAATTCTCTCTTTTTAACCCCAAAAATTTTACCTGAAATTCCCTTTTTTTAACCCAAAAATTTCACCTTTTTAATCCAAAATTCCTTTTTTTTTAACCCCCAAAAATTCAACTTTTTAACCCCAAAATTGCCTTTCTTACCCCAAAAGTTCAACTTTTTTAACCCCAAAAATTTCAACTTTTTAAATCCCAATATTCGTTTTTTAAACCCAAAAAATTCCCCTTTTTAAACCCAAAAAATTCCCCTTTTTAAACCCAAAAAAATTCAGCTTTTAAACCCCAAAACTTCAACTTTTTTAAACCCAAAATCCCTTTTTTTAACCCAAAAAAATTCAACTTCTTTAACCCAAAGTTCTCCTTTTTTAACCCAAAAAATTCCCTTTTTTAAACCCAGAAAATTCAATGTTTTAAACCTAAAATTCCCTTTTCTTAACCCCAAAAATTCAACTTTTTAATCCCAAAATTCCCTTTTTTTAAGCCAAAAAATTCAACTTTTTAAACCCAAAATTCTCCTTCTTTACCCCCAAAAATTCAACTTTTTAAACCCAAAATTCACCTTTTAAAACCTAAAATTCCCTGGTTTTAACCCAAAAAATTCCCCTTTTTAAACCCCAAAAATTCAACTTTTTAAACCCCAAAAATTCAACTTTTTATACCCAAATTCTCTTTTTATACCTTGAAATTTGAAACTTTTAGCTCAAAATTTGAATTTTTCACAGAAAATTTCATTCCCCAAATCCCCCAAGTTTTTCTCCCCAAATTCCCAATTTTTAAATAATTTCCCCAACTTTTTACACAAAAATTCCCAAATTTTACCCCAAATTTGTACTCCAAATTCCCAAAATTTTTATCCCAAATTTCCCTTTTTTTACTCCAAAAATTCCCATTTTTAACTGAAAAATTCCCAATTTTTTATCTGAATATTCCCAAATTTCAACATTTTACCCCAAAAATTGCAATTTTATTCCTAAATTTCCCAGATTTCAAACCCAAAAATCCCAAATTTTTAATTCCAAAACTTTCAATTTTTAACCCCAAATTCCCCAAATTTCAATTTTTCCCAACCCCTAAAGTGGGCGTGGCCTTCCTTGGTCCCTCCCCCTAATTTAAATAATTTTAATTTTTAATTTTTCTCTTTTTTTTCCTCTTTTTCTCCCCAGTTTTTTCTTCCTCCTGGGCCCGGCCCCTCCCCCCAGGCCGGCCCCGCCCCTTCCCCACCCCGACGAAGGGGGCGGGGCCAGAGAGGAGAAATGGGGCGTGGCCAAGGTGAGAAAGGGGCGGGGCTTCAACAGGTGGGGCTCAAAGGGGTGGGGCTTCAAGGGGAATTTTAGGGGCAAAAATTGGAATTTTAGGGGGAAATTTTGGGAAATTTTGGATGAAATTTGGAAAATTTTGGGGTGGAAAATTTGGGGGTTAAAATTTTGGGCACTTTGAGGGACAAAATTTTGCATTTTTATTAAAATTGGGAAATTTTGGTTCAAAAATTGGGGAATTTTTGGGTTAAAATTGGGAATTTGGGGATCAAGTTTGGGAATTTTGGGGTTTAAAATTTAAAAATTTTTGGGTTAAAATTTGGGAAATTTTGGGGGTAAAAAATTGGGAAATTTTGGGTTCAAAATTGGAATTTTTGTTGAAAATTTGTGAAATTTTTGGAGTTAAATTTTCAAAATTTAGGGTAAAAAATTGGAAAATTTCGGGTTCAAAAATCAAAATTTTGGGGTTAAAATTTGGGAATTTTTAGGTTTAATAATTGGGAGATTTTGGCTTAAAAATGGAGAATTTGGGGGTTAAAATTTGGGAGTTTTGTGGTGAAAATTTGAGAAATTTTGGAGGTAAAATTTCCAAATTTAGGGTAAAAAATGGGGGAAATTTTGGGGTTAAAATTTGGAAATTCTGGCTTAAAAATTGAGAATTTTGGGGTTAAAAATGGGAATTTTTGGGTAAAAATTGGGAAATTCTGGGGGAAATTTTGAATTTTTGAAGGGGCGGGGCTTAAGGGAGGAGGCGGGGCTTAAGGAAAAGGCGGGGCTTGGTACAAACCCCGCCCCTTCCCCAAATATGGAGAAGGCAGGAAAATGAGGGGGGGGGGGAATTGGGGGTGGGGTTTGGGGAGGGGGCGGGGCTTTGGGAGGTGAAGGGGCGTGGTCTGACGTAGCCCCGCCCCCTTCAGGCCGCTCTCCCGCCAGGGGGCGCCCCTGGGCATCGTTTACTTCGCCGAATACTTCGTTAACCAGGGGCTGGTGAGGGGGCGGGGCTAAAATGGGCTGGGGGAGGGGCGTAAACGGCGGGGGGAGGGGCTTAAAAGGGAGGGGAGGGGCTAAAAAATGGTGAATTTGGGGATGGGGAAGGGGCTCAAGATGGCGGATTTGAGGTTGGGGAGGGCTCAAAATGGCGGATTTGGGATGGGGAAGGGGCACAAAATGGCGGATTTGAGGTTGGGGAGGGGCTCAAGATGGCGGATTTGAGGTTGGGGGAGGGCTCAAGATGGCGGATTTGGGGGTGGGGAAGGGGCTTGAGGAAGGGGGAGGGGCCAAAAGGGGTGGGGGAGGGGTTTAAAAAGGGAAGGGGAGGGGCTGAAAATGGTGAATTTGGGATGGGGAGGGGCTCAAAATGGCGGATTTGAGGTGGGAAGGGCTCAAAATGGCGGATTTGAGGTTGGGAAGGGGCTCAAAATGGCGGATTTGGGTGGGGGGAGGAGCTTGAGGAAGGGGGAGGGGCCAAAAGGGGTGGGGGAGGGGTTTGAGGGATGGGGAGGGGGGCTTAAAAGGGAGGGGGAGGAGCTTAAAGTGGTGGGGGAGGGGCTTAAAATGGCGGATTTGGGGGTGTGGGAGGGACTCAAAATGGCGGATTTGGGGTGTGGGAGGGACTCAAAATGGCGGATTTGGAGGGGGGAAGGGGCTCAAAATGGCGGATTTAAGGTGGGGGAGGAGCTTCAAGAGATGTGGGAGGGGCTAAAATGGCAGGATTGAATTGGGGCGGGGCTAAAAGGCAGATCTGGGTTGGGGGAGGGGCCTAAAGATGGGGGCGGGGCTTAAAGAGGCAGGGGAGGGGCTCAAAATGATGAATTCAGAGGTAGGGGAGGGGCTTAAAATGGCAGATTTGAGGGATGGGAGGGGTCCAAGATGGCGGATTTGGGGAGGGGGGCGGGGCTTAAAGGGGAATGGGAGGGGCTTGAAGGGGTGGGGGAGGAGTTAAAATGGCGGCATTGTGATGTGGGCGGGGCTAAAATGGCGGAATTGTGATGTGGGCGGGGCTAAAATGGCGGATTTGAGGTAGGGAAGGGATCCAAGATGGCGGAATTGTGATGTGGGTGGGGCTAAAATGGCCGAATTGTGACGTGGGAGGGCTTAAAGGGATGTGGGAGGGGCTAAAATGGTGGAATTGTGATGTGGGCGGGGCTAAAATGGCGGAATTGTGGCGTGGGAGGGGCCTAAAGGGATATGGGAGGAGCTAAAGTCGTGGAATTGTGATGTGGGAGGGGCTTAAAGGGATGTGGGAGGGCTAAAATGGTGGAATTGTGATGTGGGCGGGGCTAAAATGGAATTTGTGGATGTGAGAGGAGATAAAATGGCAGAATTTTAATGGGGAGGGGCTAAAATGATGAAATTGTGGAAGGGGCGGGGCTAAAATGGTGGAATTGTGATGTGGGCGGGCTAAAATGGAATTTGTGGATGTTGGAGGAGATAAAATGGCAGAATTTTAATGGGGAGGGGCTAAAATGGCGGGATTGTGGAAGGGGCGGGGCTAAAATGGTGGAATTGTGATGTGGGCAGGGCTAAAATGGTTGAATTGTGATGTGGGAGGGGCTTAAAGGGATGTGGGAGGGGCTAAAATGGCAGAATTGTGATGTGGGCGGGGCTAAAATGGAATTTGTGGATGTGGGAGGAGCTCGGTGCGGTAGGGGCGGGGTCAGGGCTTGCTCAGCCCCGCCCCCAGCCCTGGCCCCTCCCCCCCCACAGATGGAGCTGCTCTACTTCCCCTCCTCGCCCCTCCCCCACAGCGCCCAGTACCGCACGTGAGTGACCCCGCCCCAAAATTGGCCGTTTTTACCCCAAAATTCTAAAATTTTAAGTCCCAAAATTCTCCATTTCCAAGCCCGAAATTTCCAATTTAAACCCCCAAAAGTCCCAGTTTTGACCCAAAAATTCCCAAATTTTAACCCCAAAATCCCCCAAATTTTATCGCCAAAATTCTTAATTTTAAACCCAAAACTCCCAAGTTTTAACTCAAAAATTCCCAAATTTCAATCCTGAAATTTCCAATTTAAGCCCCCAAAATCCCCAATTTTTAACCCAAACTCCCAAATTTTAACTCCAAAAATTCCCAAATTTCAACCCCAAAATCCCCAATTTTATAACCCAAAAGTTGCCAGTTTATAACCCCAAAATCCCCCAAATTTTATTGCCAAAATTCTTAATTTTTAGCCCAAAACTCCCAATTTAAACCCCCCAAAATTTGCAATTTTAACCCCAAAAATTCCAATTTAAACCTCCCAAAAGTCCCAATTATAACCCCAAAAAATCCCAAATTTCAAGCCCAAAATTTCCCAAATTTCAACCCAAAAAAAACCCTGTTTGTAAGCCCAAAACTCCCAAATTTTAATCCCCCAAATTCCAAATTTTTACCCGCAAAATCCTTAATTTTTAGCCCAAACCTCCCAAAATTTAACTCCAAAAATTCCCAAATTTCAACCCCAAAATCCCCAAATTTTATCCAAATTTTAATCCCAAAAATCCCCCAAATTTTATCGCCAAAATTCTTAATTTTCAGCCGAAAACTCCCACATTTTAACCCCAAAAATTCCCCATTTTAAATCCCCCAAATTCCAATTTTTTACCCCAAAAATCCCCGTGTTTGACCTCACGTTTAACCCTTCCCTTCCCCGTGTTTTTAACCCTTTCCTGCCCCACCTTTAACCCCAAAATTCCCAATTTTAAATCCCCCAAGTTCCCAATTTTTATCCTCAAAAATTCCCATTTTTTTACCCCCAAATCCCCCGTTTAACCCTTTCCTGCCCCGCGTTTAACCCCACCTTTAACCCTTTCCTGCCCTGTGTTAACCCCAAAATTCCCAATTTTTAACCCAAAAAACTCCCAACTTTTCAATCCCAAAAATTCCCGTGTTTAACCCTTTCCTGCCCCACGTTTAACCCCAAAATTCCCAATTTTAATCCCAAAATCTCTCAATTTTTAACCCCCAAATTCCCAATGTTTTACCCCAAAAATCCCGTGTTTAACCCCATCTTTAACCCTTTCCTGCCCCCGTTTAACCCCAAATTTCCCAATTTTAACCCAAAAAATTCCCAATTTTAAATCCCCCAAATATCCCCGTCTTTAACCCTTTCCTGCCCCACATTTAACCCCAAAATTCCCAATTTTACCCCAAAAATCCCCGTGTTTAACCCCAATTTTAACCCTTTCCTGCCCCATGTTTAACCCCGTGTTTTTAACCCTTTCCTGCCCTGTGTTTAACCCCACATTTAACCCGTTCCTGACCCAACTTTAACCCCTTCCTGCCCTGTGTTTAACCCTTTCCTGTCCTGTGTTTAACCCCATGTTTAACCCCACATTTAACCCGTTCCTGACCCACATTTAACCCCTTCCTGCCCCGTGTTTAACCCTTTCATAACCTGTGTTTAACCCCTTTCTGACCCGTGTTTTTAACCCTTTCCTGCCCTGTATTTAACCACAACCTTTAACCCCTTCCTGCCCCGTGTTTAACCCTGTGTTTAACCCTTTCCTGCCCCACCTTTAACCCTTTCATTCCCCATGTTTTTAACCCCATGTTTAACCCTTTCCTGCCCCCCCCCCGTGTGTTTAACCCCTTCCTGCCCGCAGCTGCAGCTGCTGTACCAGGCGGCGTCTTCGTCTCGCGCTCGTCCCTGCGCTGCCTCCGCCTGCGGCGCCTCTGGGGGCTGGCGCTGGCACAGGTGGGACCCACAGAGACCCCAAATCTGCCCCACAGATCCTAAAAGTGCCCCATAGATCCCAATCCTGCCCCATAGATCATAGTCTGACCCCATAGATCCCAAATCTGCCCCATAGATCATCCCTGACCCCATAGATCCCTCTGGGGGCTGGCGCTGGCACAGGTGGGACCCACAGAGCCCAAATCTGCCCCACAGACCCTAAAACTGACCCACAGAGCCCAAATCTGCCCCAGAGACCCCCAAATGTGCCCCATAGATCATCCTTGACCCCATAGATCCCAAATCTGCCCCATAGATCCCAATATTGCCCTATAGATCATCCCTGACCCCATAGATCCCAAATCTGCCCCATAGATCCCTCAGGGGCTCGGGGCTGGCGCTGGCACAGGTGGGACCCACAGAGCCCAAATCTTCCCCATAGATCCCAAATCTGCCCCATAGATCCCAAATCTGCCCTATAGATCGTCCCTGACCCCATAGATCCCAAATCTGCCCCATAGATCACAGTCAGACCCCATAGATCCCAAATCTGCCCCATAGATCCCAATATTGCCCCATTGATCATCCTTGACCCCATAGATCCCAAATCTGCCCTATAGATCATCCCCTGACCCCATAGATCCCAAATCTGCCCCATAGATCCCTCTGGGGGCTGGCGCTGGCACAGGTGGGACCCACAGAGCCTAAAACTGACCCAAAGATCCCAAATCTGCCCCATAGATCCCAATACTGCCCTATAGATCATCCCTGACCCCACAGAGCCCAATACTGCCCTATAGATCACAGTTTGACCCCATAGATCCCAAATCTGCCCTATAGATCATAGTCTGACCCCATAGATCCCAAATGTGCCCCATAGATCACAGTCGAACCCCATAGATCCCAATCCTGCCCCTCAGACCCCAAATGTGCCCCATAGATCCCAAATGTGCCCCATAGATCCCAATACTGCCCTATAGATCATCCGTGACCCCATAAATCCCAAATCTGCCCCACAGACCCCAAATCTGCCCCATAGACCCCAAATGTGCCCCACAGATCCCAATAGATCCCATACTACCCCATAGATCCCAAATCTGCCCCATAGATCCCAAATGTGCCCCATAGATCCCAATATTGCCCTATAGATCATCCTTGACCCCATAGATCC